CCCAATTCATACTAGAGCCCAAAATAATATTGGCTATGATTCTATTATAGAACTTATTTTAGGTAAGATTGATTTCAGCTTTCCTCTACCTTCTAGCCTTCTAAAAGCATTTCCTTACTGTACTTACAGAAGAAAACAAGATTTTGTTTCAGAACGTTTGTTTTAAGCCAGATCAAAATCGTTTTTCTCAGCATTACTGAGATTAGTATCATTGGCTTCTATTCCCAGACCAGTCTCCCGATGCAATGCTTCAATCTCCACAAAGAATCAACAGAACTAGTGTGGGACAAAATAAAACCTCCCTTTAGATCTGTACGAATGTATGTCTCATAAATTGAATGAGTATTATTATAGGTGTATAAGATTTTACTGGCGTTTAGAGGATGTTTTGTATTATAGGTACAACAATAACTAAGTACTGGGTATTGTCAATTTCCCAACTGCTGTCATATTGTCTCTGGATATATTCTTCTAGAGACTCAAGTCTTCTCCCACTCTACCTCACTTCATTCTCACTTCCTTGTGTCTTGTTATTTCTGTTTGCTTATATTCTTGCTATAATCTCTAATACAATGAAGTTTTAAAATATTTTTATGACAAATTTGCTTCTAACCCATGATCTCAGAAAGGAAGCAGTCTACTCCAGAGGTAATTATTATTTTCTCAAAACACATATTTTCCTTAATGGAATTACAAGCTCAGCTTTTATGATTATGTATAGACCATTCCCTGGAACTATTTTTATTCTAGAACTTATATTAAAGCCCAATGTCTTCTATGCAGCAGTTATATGAGATAAAGAGACGCTGTGATGGAATGGAATATTGGCACCATAAAACATAATATGAATAATAATTATTGGTGTGAATAGATATTAATTTCTTATTGTTATTGAAGAGAAAATAGATTTCAGAATTAAATAAAATTATAATAATATTAATCCATTTTAAATAGTATATATGCATATACATGCATACATATGAGAGTTATATATTAAAATGCGGTGATTATTTGTGCAATATTATGTGATTCTTATTTTTCCTTTATATAACTTGTATTTTTAAAGTTCTCACAATTAAGTAGTATTTGCTATAGGTAAAAATATTATCTATAACATGAACAGAGTTATTTTTAGAAATAACTGATCTCAAAATGAGGCAATGAGTCAGGTGTAAAGAAACTTGATTACAAAGATAATGACTCAGAGGTGAAAATATATATGGAGCCAAATGCTGGAAAGTAATATGTAATGAATAAAGGGAATGCTTACTTTAAGAATGAATTCTTAATTTCACATAGTAAGAGCTATTGAAGTACCTAACATTAATAGTTGTATTATTTCTTCTTGTTGTTAGAAATGGAGGAAGAAATAAATGTTTAGAAATAAGGAAAAAGCAAGTCCCAGGATCCAGAGTGAAATAGATTTATTGATACAGATTCAATAAAGATATTTTTTTCAGTAAAAGAGTGCTGATGACCAGATATATCCTAGGCCTCATAATTTTAGGCAAGCCAATTTATCTTTTTGAGTTCTGCATTATTAAATCCCCTCCCACAATATTCCTTCCTGGTGAAATTCCTGTGAAAGTCTTCTTGTGAAATTCTACTTGGAATACAGTAGATATTTATAACTATTTGTTAAATTCATGAACTACACTACGAGAAACTTGAATTAAATCATTCTTTGAGTCTTTTCTGGATCCTAATTTCTTCTATTCAAAAAATATTTGCCAAAGACTATAATGCATTATATTATGTAAAAATAAAATTGCAAGTTATGATCATTATTCACAAGGAATTGGTAATTGTCTTAAAAAGATAAGCTCCTTTGGTTTCTCACTGTCACTTATTGACAGGCATCTAATTGTCACTAGTGAAAATCATATCAAGAAAAAGTACTTTAGAAATTGTGACTGTTAACTTGTTCATCTCCAAATCAAATAGCCCAAATTGTTGCTCTTCCAAAGGAAGTAAAATAAAAAGAGATGATAATTTGTTATAACCACATGGAAATATATAGAACTGGAGATTATCATTTGCAATGAGATAATCCAAGTTCAGAATGCCAAATACAGGGAAATGGAAGATAACAGAGGAGAGGCTGGGAGCTAAGCACGCTCTCCCGTAGAGACCAGTATTAGTATTCAAGTGGAAAATCTAAAGCTAGAGAGACACACCAAGTGTGTTATCATTGTAAAGAGAGTTTGGCCAGAGAGGGAAAACTCAGGCAGCTTAGTTAAGGACACAGATTCAAGCAACCCCAGTTCAGGGCCACCGCAGCTGCCGCTGGCCACCATATTTGGCAGAGAGAGCCAGGGACAAAGGCACCTGAGTGGATTCTACTCACCACCAGGAAGAACTGACAAGGAATGGAAATCTTCATTGGGCCAGCCACAGACAGTCCCAGACTGTGGACGTGGATGACACGACATGAGTACCGCAAGACACCTCAACTACTTCTCATGGAGCAGCAGTGTGAAGGTAGCCTCTCCCCCACCACTGGAAAAAACTCCATCTTTGATACTGACACAGAACAGGCAAGAGCAGTTAGCTCTATTTGACCTGCTGCAAGGCTCAGTTCCACCCCTGGGTGGAGTTCCCCCTCCCAAGCAGAGGCAGCTCTGCATGGGCAGGGCAGACTCCCTTTAGTGGGTAAACAGAGCCAGAGGTTACCCAACACTGCTGATGCACAGGAAACAACTCCAGTCCTTGAGCAATTAGAAACTTCGTACATATAAATCCTGAGATTAGATCCAGGCTGGAATGATTTGAGTCTTTCAGGAGCTAGCCCATCAGGGTAAAGCTGACAGGACACAGCCTAACATACAAACTAGCAACCTTCACAGCAACTCCAAGCTAAAGGAAACACCACCTCGCTCTTTTGTGATACTCAAAGTAGATCACTTTCCTACTGAAGTAACCTGGGAGGAGGGACATAAACTCCCTGGTGAGACAGAGCTTCCTTCAACCTGCTCAAACAATCTAATTTAAAAGACCAAGCCACAGGACAACCAAACACAAGAAACCAGAGACTCCATCACCAAGAGACTGGCTATGGACACAAGGGAGACACAAGAACCTCCCCTGCTACTCCCTCCCCCCAATTTTTTTATTTTATTTATTTATTTATTTTAGAAGAACTTGTTTCAACCTATTTTTTAACTGTTATCTATTTTTCTCATTTAAATTTTAGGTTTGTTTTTTGTTTCTGTTTTGTTTTTGTTGTTGTTGTTGTTCCTTTTTTTATATTCTCTTAATACTCTTCTCCCATTTGGTCCTTTTAGGTTTTTTGTTGTTATTGTGGTTTTGCATTACTTAATTGTTGTACTGCTCATCCCCAGATATATACCTGTCTTTGATTATTAGACCTTATCCTTCATTGTATGCATACTTAATTCAGATATTGATTAATCAATTCACAAACTCCCAGCCTTAACTCCATTAATTGTAGGATTATTTCTTTATACTTATATAATCTTTTGCTTCATTTTAATTTTTTATTTTTCTTTCCTTTTTCTTTATCTCTCTTCAACTTTCCTGCTATCCCTGCCCTTTTTCTGAATCTCCCTCTCACTTTGCCTTCATATGTTCCTCCAATCTTATTTTCTCCTCACGATTCTCCCTAAACCTCTTAATTGCGGGTCTGCTGAACCCTTACTTGATTTTTTTTTCAGTCCATTGATCCCTAGCTCTTTCTTATTGAACTAGATTGTACCTGTTGAACTAGATTGTATCTCTACCAATTTTGACTGGATCAAACAATCTGTGCAACTACAGGGCTCAGAATCAGTTTGGCTATCATACTCAAATGGGCAAAACAAGCAGAAACACAAGAAAAATGGCAAGTCCAGGTATTTCAACTCCCACTCATGACAATCAGGCAACAGAGTAGTCAGTGAATAACCCAGAGGAGAGTTCTCAAAATGCTCTACAAACACTACTGATAAACATGCTGAATGAAAAGTTTGAAATCCTGCAAAGGTCTCATTGTGAGCATGATAGGGAATTGCATGAGTGTGATGAGGCTAACCAAGATTAATACAGGAATATTCTGAGTGTGATGAGGCTAACCTAAAATTGATAGAGCAATATTGCAAGCATGATGATACCAACCAAAGATTGATACAAGAATAAGCGAGCATGATGAGGCTAATCTAAGATTGATAGAGGAATTGTGCAAGCAGGATGAGAAAAGACAAAGAATAATAAAGGCATTCATGAAATACACAGACAGCAGGAAGAAACAAAGGCAGTGCTGAATGAAGCCCAACAGAAGGAAAGAGAGTCCAATGAAACCATAACCAATCAAATAAGGGATTTGAGAATGAACACTGGAAACCAAATTAAGGAGGTAAAGATCTAAAAAGATCCATAAAGATCTAAAACAAAGCTCCAACAAAGAATTTGAAGCCATCAAATCTGACCAATTAGAAAGAAAAGAAATTTTAAAAAAGCAGAAAATCTTGACAGTAGGTTAGACCATGCAGAAGACCAAATCTCTGGCATTGAAGACAGCTTAGATGTTATAAAGAAAGAACAGACAAATAGTCAAGACAAATCCAATAAATACAATAGATCAATCCAACATCTAGAAGATACCATCAGACGACCTGATTTGTGGATAATAGGTGTAGATGAGCACCTAACACAGAAGTTAATGGTCCAGGAAATTTATTTAACAGGATCCTAGAAGAGAACTTCCCAAAGAAGCAAAAAGATAGGCCTATTCAGATACAAGAAGCTTTTGGAACCCCAAATAGACCAGACCAGTATAGGACATCCCAAAGTCACATTATAATCCACACAGGATCAATTCAGACCAAGGAAAGGATCCTTAAACCTGTCAAGGAGAAAAGATCAATCACTTATAAAGAGAAACCAATTAGAATAACTTCAGATTTCTTAGCAGAGACAATTAAATCAAGAAGAGCCTGGAATGATGTATGCCATGTCCTAAAGAAAAACAACTATCAACCAAGAATACTGTACCCAACAAAACACTCCTTTATAACTGAAGGTCAAATAAAAACTTCCAGAACAAAGAAAAATTAAACAATATATCTCCACCAAGCCAACCCTACAAAAGATGCTTAAAAATGTCCTACATATAGAAAACCAACAAGAGCACAATAAAGGCCAAGAAACACCCCACAAACCGAGAATCCAAGAAGCATAGGAAGATCCCAATTGACACAGCCCCCAAGAAGGTGGATAACATGGTAGGAACTACCAAACACAAGTCCTAACTCTCAATATTAATGGACTTAAATCTCCAATTAAGCGACATAGAGTGTCTAATTGTATCAAAAAGCAAGATCCTTCTATCTATTGCCTTGAAAAGACACACCTTGCCCACAAAAACCAACAATTTCTGAAAGTGAAAGGCTGGAATAAAATAAACGAAGCAAATGTCCCCCATAAACAGGCAAGAATTGCCAACCTAATATCAGATAAAGTAGACTTGAAATTAAAATTAGTGAGAAGAGAAAATAAGGTCATGACGTGATAATTAAGGGATCTCTCCTTCAGGAGAATATTACAATTCTAAGTATCTATTCACCAAATAATAGAGCACTCAAATTTACCCAAGAAGCACTACTTTCTCTAAAATCACATATTGATTCAAAGACATTGACTCTTGGGGACTTTAACACACCACTATACCCGTTGGATAGATCAACCAGGAAAAATCTAGACAGAGAAACCTCAGACCTAAACAACTGCATTGATCAATTAGACTTAACAGATATCTGCCAAATATTTCACCCAGCAGCATCAGAATACATGTTCTCAGCAGTACATGGAACATTTTCCAAAATAGACCACATTTTAGGTCACAAAGCATATTTGTCCAAATTCAGAATCATTGAAATTATGCCCTGCATTCTATCAGAGCACAAGGGAATAAAATTGGAATTCAACACCAAAAGCCATCAACGGAAATCCAGTAACACATGGATGCTGAACAACACACTGTTGAACCACCAGTGGGTCATGGAGGAGATTCAAAAGGAAATTCAAATGTTCATAATATTTAACAAAAATTAACACACAAATTATCAGCTACTCTGGGACACAGCAAAGGCAGTACTCAGAGGCAAGTTTATAGCTCTGAGTTCCTACATTAACAAATTGTAGAGCTCTCAAAACAATAAATTAATGATGCACCTAAAGCTCCTTGAAAAGGAGCAAAAAGCTTAACCCCAATCCAATAGACAGAAACAATTAAAATTATATCAGAATTAAATGAATCAGAGTTCAAAAAAGCTATAGAAAGTATCAACAAAACAAAGAGTTGGTGCTTTGAAAAAAATTAACAAAATTGACAGACCCTTAGCAAATCTTATGAGAAAAAAAAAATCAGAACACACCCAAATAAATAAATTCAGATTTAAGAATGGAAACATCTCTACAGAAACAATCAAAATTCAGAATATTATAAGGGGATATGTCTCATACCTTTATGCTAATATAAGTTTGAGAATCTGAAAGATATGGACGAACTTGTAGCAAATGTTGACATGCACATACTAAACCAAGATGATTTAAACCAACTTAACAGATCCATATCAAGCATCGAAATAGAAGCAGCTATAAGAGTCCTCCCACCCAAGAAAAGCCCAGGACCAGATGGATTTACAGCTGATTCTACAAGGCCTTCAAAGCAGAACTCACACCAATACTCCTCCAACTCTTCAATGAAATTAAAAGAGAAAGTTCACTACCAAACTTTCTATGAAGCCACCATAACCCTCACCCTAAAACCAAGTAAGGACTCATTAAAAAAATGATAATTATAAATCCATTTCCTTGATGAACATTGATGCAAAACTTCTCAAATTTTGGCCAATTGACTTCAACAACTCATCAAAAAAATCATGCATCACTATCAAACAGGATTTATTTCAGGGATGCAAAGCTGGTTTAACATACGCAAATCAATATAATTCACCACATCAACAAGAGCAAGGAGAAGAACCACATGATTATCTCAATAGATGCAGGAAAAGCATTTGACAAAATCCAACACTGCTTTATGATGAAAGCTCTGGAAAAACTAGGGATCCATGAAACATTCCTCAATATAATAAAGGCTGTGTATGACAAACTTAAAGCCAGTGTTATACTTAATGGTGAAAAGATAAAGCCATTTCCTCTAAATTCAGGAACGAGACAAAGATGTCTGCTCTCTCCACTCCTCTTCAATTTAGTATTAGAATGCCTAGCTACAGCAATAAGACAAGACGCAAACATAAAGGGGATCCAAATAGGGAAAGAAGAAGTAAAATTCTTCCTCTTTGCAGATGCCACGATCTTGTACTTCAAGAACCCCATTGACTCCTCTGTCAAGTTACTTGAGCTGATCCAAAACTTTGGCAAAGTAGCAGGATATAAAATTAACCCTCAGAAAGCAACGGCTTTCTTGTGTGCCAATAATGAGAGGAGTGCAGCTGAAATTCAGAAAGCAAATCCTTTTGTAATAGCTCCACAAAATACCTAGGAGTTAACTTACCTAAACAGGTGAAGGACCTCTATGACAAAAACATTAAAAACCTAAAAAAAGGAAATTAAATCAGAACTAAGGAAGTGGGAAAACTTCCCATGCTCTTGGATTGGGAGGATTAACATCATGAAAGAGGCAATACTTCCAAAGGCTATCTACAAATTCAGTGTGTTACCTATCATTATCCCAACCTCATTCTTCAATGAAATAAAAGAAGCAATCCAAAAATTCATATGGAACAGTAATAGACCCCCACAGCAAAAACAATCCTTAGCAAAAATTACAGTGCTAGAGGAATATCAATATCAAATCAAACTCTACTACGAATGTATAGTAATAAAAGCCTGGTACTAGCGCAAGAAGAGACCTGAAGATCAATGGAATAGGACCCAGAATGAAACCACAGACCTACAGTCACCTAATCTTAGATGACGAAGCTAAAAAAAATAGAATGGAAAACAGACAGCCTTTTCAGTAAATGGGGCTGGCAAAATTGGTTAAACACGTAGAAAATTAAAACCAGATCCTTACATATCACCCTGCACCAGAATCAACTCCAAATGGATCAAAGACCTCGAAATAAAAGCAGACACTGAAAATATTACAGGAAGGAATAGGAGAAACTCTAGGGCTCCTTAGAACAGGCCAAACTTTTCTTAAGAGAGACCCAGAAACACAAGAAATCAAAAAAAGATTGGACAAATGGTATTGGATGAAACTGCAGAGCATCTGCAAGGCAAAGGACATAGCTAGTAAGATAAATAGAAAGCTCACAGACTGCAACATCTTCACAAGCCATAAAATGGACAAAGTTCTCATGTCTAAAATATACTTAAAAATCAAAAAAACCAAATCCTCCAACAACACATCCTAAAAGAAACAGCTGCCCAATAAATAAATGGGCAAAAGACTTAAAGAGAAACTTCTCTGAAGAGGAAATGATAATGGTAGTTAGACACATGAAGAAATGCTCATCTTCTCTAGCCATAAAAGAAATGCAAATCAAGATAACATTGAGATTCCACCTCACCCTAGTTAGAATGGCTATAATCAAGAACTCTAATAGCAACAGATGCTGGAGGGGATGTGGACAGAAGGGAACCGTACTGCATTGTTGATGGGAGTATAAACTTGTTCAACCACTTTGGAAAGCAGTATGGAGGTTCCTGAAAAGACTCCACATAAAGCTCCCCTATGACCCAGCAATCTCACTTCTGGGCATTTACCCAAATTATCACAAACAAGGCCATACTAAAGCTACCAGCACAACTATGTGTATCACAGCATTATTCACCATAGCTAAGATATGGAACCAACCCAAATTACCCTCAGTAGCTGAATGGACCAAGAAAATGTGATATGTGTGTGTATATATATATATATATATATATATATATATATATATATATATATATATATGTATTAATGAATTTTATGCCTCCATCAGAAAGAACAACATCTCCCCATTTGTTAGGAAATTGAAAAGCTTGGAAAAATTAAGCTAAGTGAAGTAAGCTAGGCCCAAAGAAACATAGGTCCCATGGTTTCCCTTATTTGCAATAACTAGTACATGCCTAGGACAAGCAGAAAAGATCAAAAGCTATGTATATATAACCATATAAGATGATGTTAAGTAAAATGAACTCCAAGACAGGGAAAGAAGTGCTGTTGTTTTGTTTTTCTTGCTTGCTATTGTTTTTAATGTACTTATAATGTACTATGTGATTCTTTTTTTTTTCTTTTGTGTGTTCTTTCCCCATGGTGTAATCCCTGTTTTCACTGTATCTGATCCCGGTAATCTTGCATCTTATATATACATTTTTATAATTTAGGGAGGGGAAGGGATATAACAAAATGCTTAAATAAGGATACATGTTGATCCATTGTAACAGTGAGATGTACAAGACACCATGTTGAAAACGAACGTTACAATTTGTAGGGGGAGGGTAGAGAGGGAGCAGTTGAGGAAGTATGGAGGGAAGGGATATTGGGGAAAACAAAGGAGGAGGTAACAATGCTCTATAGGAAATGCACTCATTACCCTACTGTACAGTAGGGCACAGTATTTTTTATATAAATTATGTGCAGAATTACATTTTACCTCATTCTTTTTTCTTCTTCTTCTTTAGCTTAATTATTTAGTTACCCATAGTTATTCTTTCCTATCAGAAATTTGTCTTCAGATTCTTTGAGCCTAGCAATATGGATTTGTTTACTTTTGAAAAGATTTTTATTAGCATACATTAGTTCTGCAAAGGTTTCATTGTTATATTTCCATATTTGAATACAATATATTCTTGCATTGCCCTCAAGTCCTCTATCATTCTCCCTTAATCTTTCTTCCACCTCAATTTCAACAGCTTTTATGAGTCAATGAATCTACTTTTCCTAAATAGTTTTTTGGCTTTTTAAATTGGGTAAACTATGGGTAGACAAGTTTTGAAAGAATTTAAGTCCTCAAGCAATTAGATTGATTTAAGGGTTTGAGGGTAAAGAAGATAAAAAAGATGACGTATAAAAATTTAAAGACTTAGGACATAAGCCAGACACAGGTGTACCATGCCTATAACACTAAGCTACTGAGGAAGCTGAGATTTGAGATTCATGGTTTATGGTTAAAGCCAGACCAGGCAGAAATGTCTGCAAGATTCTTATCTTCATATAACCAGCAAAAACTTGGTATTGGAGGTGTAGCTTATTGACCATTTTCCTCACTTGACTATGAAAAACTGAGGTTAAACGAGATTAAATAACTGTGTCCAAAGTGATAACAAAAAAGTAGCTGAATAAATATGCATATTCAAATCTATATGTTTTTAAAACTCACGCTTACCAAGAAGACTCTAAGAAGTCATGAAAGGTAGAAAAAGGCAGGAGGAAATCAGTCCATTTCATGCTTTTCTTCTTCTGCCTTTTTTTGCTTTTTACAATTTATTATTCTATTCAAGATAGTCTTACATATCATTGTGCTAGAGATGGATTTGCCTTTCATTCAAGAAAAAACAATCTTATTTCTGAAAAGTTTACTTGGGACCCCCTTTTCAGTCTCAATACTGTGTGACCTTTCTACACCTAAAGCAAAGAAAAATCATAAATAGGAAGACTTCCTGGAAGATGGCGGTACTGCCACAGGTAAACTCCTTTGATGTCTCTGACCAAACAGAGATCTAGGGTCCCAGGATACACTTTTCCTCAACAGATTTGTACCAATCAAACTTTAAACAGATAAAGACTTATCTTAATAAAGCAGAAATTTCTCCAAAATGAAATTAGTGAACTCCTGCTGTGTAGCTGCAGCTGTGGTTAAGCAGTTCCACAGGCCATTTACACAGTACAGGGAAACCCAGGAGGACACGACTGAAACACTATCAATCAAGCTTTAAACAGAAGATCAATCTAATACTGAAGAAATCATGGAGCACTAAGGGAACTATGAGAACCAAGGAGGGTGGTCATGGAAGATCCCAGAATCAGCAAGGGAACCTGCACTGAGGATCTGTTGCCGCTGCATCGGCCCGCACACCAAAACTGTTCCTGCTGCCTATGATGGGGCTTCCAACCCCACCACGGCCTCCAATTCTACTTCTGCTGCTGCTCCCACCCACACTGCTGCTCCCCACACCAACGCTGCTACTGTAGCCACAACACAGCCAGGAAGTGGAGTGTGAGAACGCCAATTTAGACACAGAGGCCCCTCAGCAGGTCACAGCTGATCAGTTCAACAGCAGCTCTTGAAGCTGTGATGCCTTCCTTGGACACGTCTCTCTATGGTTAACCAAAATTCCCTGACTTGATTCCCACCTGAAAGGGAGAGATCATATCTGAAAAGGGCAAAGACGGGCAGACTCTTCCTATACCTTACATTGCTACTAGGGCTTTCTCCTGAGTCACAGCTCCCCTCTGAGGCAGCAAACTACAATCCAAACTCCTTCTATGGGTAGTGGGTTGGTTGCTGTCTTAAAACTGTGTTTTGTTGTGGTATTGGATTTGCTTTCATTTTGAAATGGGCAGAACAAACCAAAGAAACAAAAGAAACATGGTAAGTCAATAAAACCGACTCCCACTCAAAATAAAGAGGTAAAAGAATAGTTATTGAAAGAACTAGAGGATAGTTTACAAAATGCTATAAAAACAATGTTGGTAAAAATGTTGAATGAAAAGATCATGCACACGGCTATGCATGAACACTATGAGGCTAACCAAAGATTAACAGAGGAATTCATGGAATCCACAAATAAAAGGCTGAAAATTTTTCAACCTAAGAGGGAGCCTAATGAAAATTTGGCCACTCAGCTAAAGGATTTGAGAGAGAACTCTGAATGCAAAACCAAGGATGTAAAGAAGCTCATACAAGGGCTGGGAAGGAGGCTCAGTGATAGAGTGCTTGCCTTGCATGCATGAAGCCCTGGGATCAATTCCTCAGCACCACATAAGCAGAAAAAGCCAGAAGTGGCACTGTGGCTCAAGTGGTTGAGTACTAGCCTTGAGCTGAAGAGCTGAGGGACAGCTCCCAGGCCCAGAGTTCAGGCCCCACTACTGGAAAAAAAAAAAAGAAGCTCATACAAGGTCTAAAACAAATCTTCCAAAAAGAAATTGAAGCCATCAAATTAGAAAGAAAGGAAAGAAAATAATAAAGTAGAAAGTCTAGACCGTTTATATTATGCAGAAAACAGAATCTATGGAAGATAGTCTAAAGAACAGAAAATTATGCAAAATAATTGCAAGGAAGAAGACAGATCCTTAAAGGAGCAAAAAGACCCAATCAGAAGACCTAATATAAGGCTAATTGATATTAAAGAGGGTGAAGAGAGAAGGAAGATAATGGAAAAGAAAATCTAACAAAATCCTTGGAGAGAACTTCCAAACATCTAAAATGATAGTCCCTTCCAAACACAAGAAGCCTTTAGAACCCCAAACTGACCAGACCAGCCCAGAACAGGACATCCCACCACCACACTGTAATCTGCAGGATCAATAGAGACCAATGAAAGGATCCTTAAAGTCATCAGGGAGAAAAGACAAAAACCTATAAAAGAAAACCAATCAGAATAACTACAGATTTCTCAACAGAGGCAACAAAAGCAAAGACAGCCTGGAATGAGGTATGCCACACCTTAACAACATGGAACTACCAACCAAGAACAGTGTACCCAGCTAGACTCTCATTTATAAATTAGGGACAAATGAAAAACTTCCACAGATGGAAAAATTGAAACAATATATCTGCACCAAACCAGCATTACAGAAAATAGTCAAAGATGTTCTACACATAGAAAACTAACAAGAAAATGTTATTGGTAGAGAAATGGCTTCTAAACAGAGAATCAGATTATTATGGTAAGAATTGAGGCAGCACAGGCCCTAATAAGGTGGATTAAATGTCAGGAACTACCAAACACTTCTCAGTCCTAACTCCCAATAATAGTGACATAGATTGACTAGATGGATCAAAAGGCAAAATCTGTCTTTCTGCTGTTCTCAAGAGACACACCCTTCCCCACAAAACAAACATATTCTGAAAGTGAAAAGCAGGAATAAAATCTATCAAGCAAATGGCACCCATAAATAGGCTGGAAATGCAATACTAATATTAGATAAAATAGACATCAAATTAAAATGTGAGAAGAAACAAAAAAGGTCATTATATACTAATAAGGGCATCTCTCCTACTGGAGGATATAAATTCTGGAGCACCCAACTTCATTAAACAAAAACCACTTACCCTAAAAACATACATAGATCCAAACACGTTGATCATTGTTGACTTAAATATACCACTGTCCCCTCTGCATAGATCAACACGAGAAAAACTCACTAGAGAAATTTCATAAAGAATTACAGAGACCAAATAGACTTAACAGACATCTACAGAAATTCCACCCAACAACACAAGTATAAAAACAAATCTTTGCAAATTCAGAAATACTAAAATTACTCCCTGTATCCTCTCAGACCACAAGGAAATAAAATTAGAGTTCAACACAAAAGCCACCATAGAAAATCCTATAAAACATGGAGAATGAAGAACACATTATTGAATCACCACTTAGTCATTGAAGAGATCAGGATGGAAATTAGGGTACTTAACAAAAGTAGCACACAAAATACTAGCTCCTCTGGGACACTGGAAAGGCTGTGCTCAGAGGGAAATTTATAGCTGAGTGCCTACATCAACAAATTATGGAAATATCAAACCAACAATTAGTGATGTACCTTAAGCTCCTTGAAAAGAGCAATGAGCCATATCCAAATAGAGTAGACAGAAAAAATAAAATTCCATTAGATTTAAATGAATTTAAGTCCAAAAAAATAGAAAGAATTAACAAAACAGTTGTTTGAAAAAATTCACAATTGAGAGACCTTAGCAAATCTGACCATAAAAATACAGAACACACTCAAATCAGAGATGAGAATGGAAACATCATGACAAAAGCAAGAAGATTCAGAACTTTATTCAGGAATACATTGTAAACTTGTACTGACAAATTGGAGAATCTGGAAGAAACGGAGGAATTTCTAGCAAACACTGATATAGACAAACGAAACCAAGAAGATTTAAACCAACTAAACATTCCCATATCAAATAATGAAATAGAACCAGCCGTAAGCTAACACTCAGCCCAAGACAAGATGGATTCACAGCTAAATTCTATAATGCCTTCAAAAAAGAACTCACTCTTCAAAGAAATTGAAAGTGAATATTCACTACCGAACTCATGCTATGAAGCCAGCATAACCCTCACGCCAAAACCAGACAGGGACTCATCAAACTAAAAGCACTATAGACCCCTTTAATGTTTTTTATTGTAAAAATACTGTACAGAGGGGTTACAGTTACATGAGTAAGGGAATGAGAACATTTCCTACTGAGCATAGTTACCTCCTTTGTTTATCCTCTACTCCCCTCCCCAACTCCTCCCTCCCCCCCCAAGGTTGTAAAGTTTGTTTTCAACATAGTGTCTTATACATCTAATTGTTACAATGGGTCAACCTGTATCCTTATTTGTTATTTGTTATTTCCCTTCCTCTCACCAAAACAGAAAAATGTATATACAAGATGTAGGACACTAACATCAAATACAGTGAAAACAGGGGTTATACCATGGGAGAAGAGAAACAAAACAATCACCCCAGTTAGAAGGGAAATCTAATAACAACAGATGCTGGAGGGGATGTAGACAGAAGGGAACCCTAATGCATTGTTGGTGGGAATGTAAACTTGTTCAACTGCTTTGGAAAGCAGTGTGGAAGTTCCTTAAAAGAATCCACATAAAGCTCCCCTCTGAACCTGCAATCCCACTTTTGGGCATTTAACCAAATGATCACAAACAAGACCATGCTACCAGCACAAATGTTTATCATGGAATTATTTACCATAGCTAAGATATGGAACCAACCCAGATGACCCTCAGTAGATGAATGGATCAAGAAAATGTGGTATATTTATACAATGGAATTCTATGCCTCCATCAGAAAGAATGGCATTGCCCCATTTGTTAGGAAATGGAAAGACTTGGAAAAAATTATATTAAGTGAAGTAAGCCAGGCCTAGAGAAACATAGGTCCAATGGTTTCCCTTATTTGCAATAACTAGTATAAGTCTACAACAAGCAGAAAAGATCAAAAGCTATGTGAATATGACCATGTAAGGTGATGTTAAGCAAAATAAACCCCAATAAAGGGACATAAGTGGTTTATTTCTTCTTTGCTATTGCTTTTAGATCCCTTTCTTTGTTGAACATCACTGCAAAACTTCTCAACAAAATTCTGGCAAAGTGACTACAACTCATCACTATGATGAAACAAAATTTGTTCCAGAAACACAAAGCTGGTTCAATATATGCAAGTCAATTTATGTAATTCAACATTTCAATAGGAACAAGGACAAGACACACATGACAATCTCCAGAGATGAAGAGAAAACATTTGACAAAATCCAACTCCCCTTTATGATGAGTTCTCTGGGGAAATTAGGACTCCATGAAACATTCTTCAATAGAATAAAGACTATATATGACAAACCTGCAACCAGCATTATACTTAATGGTGAAATGTTAATGCCATTTTGTCTAAAATCAGGAACAAGACAAAGATGTCCACTCCTCTTCAATATTGAATTGGAATCTCTAGCTAGAGCAATAACGCAAGAGGCAAACATAAATGGTATATAAATGGAGAAAGAAGTAAAACTCTCCCTTTTTGCAGATGACATAATCCTGTAATCCAGCATTTAAAGAACCCTGTAGACACCATTCCCAAGTTAGTCAAGTTGGACCACAATTTTGGCAAAGTAGTAGGGTATAAAATTAACCCACAAAAATCAATAGCTATTCTGTATACCAACAACGAGAGGAGCAAGTCTGAAATCAGGAATGCAATTCTTTTTCTAATATAAAATACCTAGGAATTAACCAAAGAATTGAAGGACATCTATAATGAAAACTTTTAAAACCTGAAAAAAGAAAATAAAGTATATATAAGGAAGTGGAAAAACCTCCCATGCTCCTGGATTGGGAGGATTAACTGTGAAAATGGTGGTACCACCAAAAAGGTATCAACAAATTCAATGCAACTCATTAATTTTTTAATGAAATCATTCTTTAATGAAATACAAGAAGCAATTTAAAAATTCATATTGAATAATAGAATTTATATGGAAAAATTAATATGGAATAATAGAAGACCCTGAATAACAAAAAACAATCCAAAGCAGAAAGAACAGTGCTGGAGGAATAACAATAACAAGCTTCAAACTTTATTAAAAAGCCATAGTAATAAAAATCGCTTGGAACTGGCACATGAACAGGTCTTAGGACCAATGGAATAGGATTGAAAACCCAGAAATGAACCCTCAGACATTTGGCTATCTAATCTTAGATAAGAGAGCCAAAATAACTGGATGGAAGAAATAGAGCCTTTTCAAAAATTGGTGCTGGTAGAATTGGTTACACATGTATAGAAAACTGAAGTTAGATCCTTACATATCACTCTACATCAGAATCAATATCAAATGGATCAAAGACATCTAGGTAAAAGCAGATACAGGAATAGAGGAAACAATGGAGCTCCTTGGCACAGGTTCTTAATAATGACCAAGAAAGGCCTTCAAAGAAGAACTCACATCAATACTCCTCCAACTCTTCAATGAAATTGAAAGAGAAAGTTCACTACTGAACTATGAAGCCATCGTAACCCTCATAACCCATCATAACCAGGCAGGGACTCATCAAAGAATGAGAACTGTAGACCAATTTCTGTGATGAACATTGATGCAAAATTTCTCAACAAAAAGTTTGCCAAAGAACTTCAACAATTCATCCAAAAAATCAAACACAACGATCAAACAGGATTCATTTCAGGGATGCAAAGCTGGTTCAACATACACAAATCAATTAATATAAGTCATCACATCAACAAGAGCAAGGATAAGAACCACATGGTTATCTCATTGGATGCAGAAAAAGCATTTGACAAGATCCAACACCCCGTTATGATTGAAGGCTCCGGAAAAACTAGGAATCCATAGAACATTCCTCAATACAATAAAGGCTGTATATGCCAAACCTACAGCCAGCAATATAATTAATGGTGAAAAACTAAAGCCATTTCCTACAAACTCAGAAATGAGACAAGGATGTCTGCTCTCTCAACTTCTCTTCAATTTAGTATTAGAATGCCTAGCTACAGCAATGACAAGATGCAAACACAAAGGGGATCCAAATAGGGAAAGAAGAAGTAAAACTCTCCCTCTTTGCAGATGACATGATCTTGTATTTAAAGAATCCACAAAACCACACTAAAGCTACCAGCACAACTATTATTGCAACATTATTTACCATAGCTAAGATATGGAACCAACCCAGATGCCCCTCAGTAGATGAATGGATCAAGAAAATGTAGTATATATACACAATGGAATTCTATGCCTCAATCAGAAAGAATGACATTGCCCCATTTGTTAGGAAATGGAAAGACTTGGAAAAAATTATATTAAGTGAAGTAAGCCAAGCCCAAAGAAACATAGGTCCCATAGTTTCCCTTATTTGCAATATCTAGTATATGTATGAGTCAAGCAGAAAAGGTCAGATAAGGTGATGTTAGGAAAATGAACCCTTAGATATGTATTTAAATGTTTTTTTTTCTTTCATGCATTTGTTTCTAACGCATTTATAAGATTATTTCTTTGTTGCTTTGTATGTCCCTCCCTCACAGTATAACCCCTGCTTTCAATATATTTGATGTCGGTATAATTTGTGTAGGAG